TTGCCAATATTATCGTTTTTTGAGCTCAATCACTTTTTCAGGAGAAGGGCTCTTGGGAAACGGAAGACAACATGTCAACGTCATCTCTGTACTGTTCCGTTTTCTACCTACTCGCAATCTGTATCTTCCCCCGTTCATGAAATATTTCGGATGGGTTACGGACGTGTTAGGGGTAAATCGCGGGCGGGTTTTTATGCTTCACATAAAAATAACTTCTAAACGCAATTTTTTGCAAAACCAAAAAGATCATCGGAACGCTCAATATTTCCTCTTTCCAACAAGCTTCACAGTACTCCTGAAGACCCGCTAGTTTCAGAAGATATTTTAGATGGGTCATCCTCGCGCGAGGTTATTAGCCACACAAAAGATCGACTTCTTCTGTGTAATTGTAAGGATACTCATTCGTGAACTTCAATATGCTTTCAAGACGCATATTCCCGTTGACCAGAGTCGAAGCATGATTTGGTTATCATCGATCGATTTGGTCCGAGTGTGCGCCGTGCATTACGCTTCTACGCAGAGGTGGTGGAAAGGTGTAACTTCTAATTTTAGGTGATTTTTGTCCATGCAAGCCAATGTTTTTTTTGGGGTTTAAGAGATCGATACGCACGAATCTGTGAGACGTTTTACCGAGTCATCTACGTACTTGAAATTCATGCTAACCGTTGATATTGCTAATCAATCGTTTTGATATTCAGTAGTTTTCCTTACATTAGGGTCCTCGTTTTCCTTCCGCTCCATCAGCGAGCGATGACACTTTGTGCTGTTTGGTGCACACCAACCCTACGTTTACTACCCCCCCTTCAAGCAGCCGCACCTACGACCCCCCTCACTCTGCCCTCCCCACCCTATGGGTTTCCACAAACGATGCTATGCCCTGGGCCAGGGCGAGAAGAAGCGATGATGATATCGGGGAGTAAAGCGACAAAGAATTTGTTATATTGAGCACAGCTCTCCGCTTAAGCAGTGAGTTCCGAGTCTGAAAACGTAGGAGAAGTCAAAGATCGAACTGTTTGTCGGAGTACTGATGTAACAGGCTGAGCTTGGATTCCTTCCTCGTCAATCTCTTCCTTAAAGGCACAGCTCGCGACCGCAGACTGCGGGAAACGGAACTCGAATACGAACGGAAAAGTGCTAAATATCTGATTAGCGGAGAAAAGCAGCAGAAAAAGCAGTCCGAAATGTTTATGGAGGAAAGATAGCATAGTGGCTACTAGCTAATAGCTAGCAGCCGGTGGGGGTCGGCATGGGCCTAAGGGGTGTCCATGGGCCTAATTAGTCAGCTTCTAGCGGAGTTCTTGCCGTTTTTCACATTTTGAAAGTAGCGCAGCCTCAAAAATCGCCTTCCGGATCGTCCGACACATTTGAGAGGTCATAGCCTTATTTTATCGCGGAAAGTGCCTTTAACCAACCGCTGTCAGAGCTCGGCGCAGTTCGCTTCCACTCCTAATGCTAGTTGGCTTGATCTGCCTACGATCGGGACCCTGGACCTGCGCGCATGTGAAACGAAGGACCACGGTGGTTTTTGTATCTAAGAAATTCCAACCCAAAGTATGCATGCCGCGACGATGTATGCCCATGATCCCTGCAAACAGTAGGTCATGCGAAGGGGAATGAGTTGAACAACAGCTAGAACAGCCGATCCAGCCGACTGCTGAAGATCCGGGGTGGTCCTCAATGATGAAAGGCTCTCCCATACACACCCAGTCGCACGCTCTATCGTTTGCGATCATGATTGTTTTCGGTGGCAGGTTGCGTAGAAGGGTCGAAAAGCCTTCAAAAAAGTCCGACCGAAAAGTCTAAATGAGCTTTGAAGTCTACAACTGAAGCAACGACGGAGAAACTGTTAATAATCTGCCAAAGCAGTTATTACCTTCGCCTTCTCATCTGTGCTCCCGATAGTCATCAAGTTGCTTGAGTGGGCCCAGCAACGTCATAATTCGCCCTGCAACAAGCTGCAGTTTCCAAGTAGTTGCTTTGGTGTGGATGGGCACAGCGTGCTCCGTGCCATTGGTTAGAGTGGAGAATATTTGTAAAGATCTAGGGAGCCTAAAAACATCAGCTATCCCTTCCCCTAGGTCGCAAATATTCGCGACCAGGCTTTCGCTCTATCTTACGCTAGAACTTGCTTTCTGCGAATGCGTGTAGCAACACCTTTTCACTCAGTATATAAGTGGACCGGATTTCTTCGGTGTTGGATAGGGTGGTAAAGATTGCCACTGGACTGTCGTAACAGTATTGGTGCACCAGTCAAATACTGTTACATTCGCGAGAAAATCTGGTCTCCAGACCAGTAAAACAGAACTTTTCATTTCAAGCGGCCCGTTGAGGTCCCCATAAGTTCCAAACGATGAAAGCCATTATATTAGGTTGTTCGAAAAGTCCTGCGACACTTTGTTTGAACTATTCTAGAAAAAGACCAAAAATCATTTTGAATGTTTTTATCTCTGATTAGTGGAGACTGTCTCCTGAGGTTTCTGAAAATGGGTATATCATGGCTCCGTGGAAGTTTTCAAAGCTTAAAAATACCTCAGAGATCGAGGTACTTCTCGACCTATCCCATATTATGAGTTCCTGTAGGGCAACTCCGCCATAGTCGAGGAAGCTAACACTTACGTTGTCTTGAGGAAGGATATCGCTCGCCATAGCAGAGAGTTCCATCTGCATCAGCGCTTCCAGGCTGGACTTATTCAACTCGGAAGTAGGCAATGTATAGGTCGGCCACCAGCACAGAATGACGGCCCTTTACTCAAGCTTCTTGAGGCGCAGCCGAACGTACCAGTAAGTTGGCAACCTCTCTAGGCTCCACCTAACTGACAACTGCCATGCTTCTCCGCAGTCTCGGTTATCGGAAAATTTTTTATGAAGGATGCCTCATGAGTTGAACCCCTCTGACAAGTCATACCGAATGACCGTGACTGAGTTTTTTTTCCTTGTACACACTGGAGGAACATTTGTGAGATCTTGTGGTTGGTAGAGAGTGGTGGGGTCCTTGCGTACATCTTGCACATGTTCCTCGCAGGATCTCTCAGACAGAAAAGTAGATTGCACAGCCAAAAGCAGATGTGCATGGGATAAAGATTTCAGTAGGTTATTGGTGGGACTTCAAAGCGGTATCTCTGGATACTAGCATAACGGTAAGGACTACAGTCCACTCTAACCAACCTCACAACATGGATGACGTCACGCTTGAATTCTTCAAAAATACTCAATTTTTCTCTACCGCTCGGCAATGCGAAGACCGCATGTTAGGATCAGGCCACACCAAAAGATCGTAGATCTTGATCTGAGAATGCGACCATACCCAGCTTATTCATCAAAGTTAGCAGTCTCTAAATACTACCTTTTTTGATCCCTACCGCATTCTTAAGAAGGCAAAATTTCCGAAAATCGCCGTCTACTCAAAAGTGAGGTCCACTCTTCTTCTTATCATAGTTGCCGTAGTTCTATAAGAATGGAAATGAGAAGCTGTGCAAAAGAAGGGCACTAGTCCTAGTCCTTAGTGGTGATTACCTTGTAGATTGGAGATGTCTTTTAGTGACTGAAAATTTAGTCCGAAAAATTGGTCAAAGTGTCGCAGGACTTTTCGACCAACCTAATACAGAGGGGGGGGGCAAAAAAAGACACTTCGACCGAGTCACATATCAGCAAAGTTTTCGCAGCCCAGACAGAGGACGTGGATACGAGTACCAGGGCGGAAGATACCCAAGATGTTCCTCGATAAGCAGGAGCTGGCTCTCGCCCATCACCTTCATGTACACCAAAATATGAAGTCATCTCCAGTCGCAGCCTGACTGGAGAAGACCTTTGGAATTCATGTCACCTCCAAACAGCTGAAACTTCTAGTGTGGAGTCACCCATGGATAGCTACCTGGAGACCAGTACTCTCAATCTGGAAGACCTCCAACATCGAGCAGCTCCGACAACGTCGCTACGGTCCAGGATATCATCTTCACCGCAGTCGCCAAGGCGCGGGTTGATGGTATGGACCGGAAGTTCCTGGAATGTGAAGACCGATATTTTCTTCGTGGACCCCGGACTGAAAGTGAACGCTGACGGTTACATCGACCAACTCGTGGAGAATATCCTGCCTTCATGTCATCGCCTGTACCTTCTTGGAAACTTCGTACTGCTACAGGATTGGGTGCCTCCACACGGAATCGAAGGGCGTTGGAAAAACTCTCGCCTACTTGGAATGGAAGGGCGTTGAGTACCTGAAGAAGGTGGAATATCTAAGCAGGTCACCTGACCTAAACCCCCTCAATTACCGGGCGGAGTTCAATAGGGTGGTCTACAGTGGCGGAGAAATCAACGATCTCGCTGAACTCAGGCACCCACTCACGGTCGCGTGGCAGAATCTCTCGATGGCGCTCCTCCAGAAGGCTGTGGCGGAGTATCATGATAGTATTTAATATGCTCTTTAATATGGTAGTAGAAATGTCCGATCAGTATTCAATAAAGTGCCTCGAAAATCAAGGAAAATTGTCTTTTTTGCCCCACCCACCCCCTCCCCCCCTTTACATGACGAGCCTATACTGGAAAGCGTTGAAACGCTCAAGTTGTTATTGCAAATCTCGGAGAATACGCGCAGCCTCAGGAATACTCGTCAGATGACTACGTCCAGTACCAAGATTCACTCAACGCGGTCGATCTGATCAAAGGTAGCATACAGCAGGTTGAGATGACAATATGAAAAGAAAAGAATATAGAAAGAATACCCTTCAAGAGCTTGAGAAACTCGAAAACGAACAAAAGCTCACAGACATGATAAGCGAAGCAACGGAGCTCTCGTATATGCTGAGAACACGACTCACAGAAGCTCCCAGCAACGAAAACAGACTTGCTCGCAAATTGGGAAAGTATTCTAGGGCACAAAGCGCACACAAGGACCTCAAAACGGAAAACCCAGGAAAGCAACATATCGGATAATCAAAGCTTCATTGTGCTACTTCAATCTGTCATGACAATCATCATCGTGAAGTTTTATTTCCTTTCGGGACTCAAGCTTTTCTACCGTCGCCGACGTGTCCCGCGTATATCCATTTTTCTATATTACAGTCGTTGATTCCACGGATCATGCGGAAGTAACCTAAAAATGGTTCGCTTGGAGTAATTCGAGCTCTCGTTTTCTTTCTAGCTTGAAAACAGCGTTCAACTGAGTACCACAAAGCGGTTAACAAGCGGGAACAAGCACTCGGAACATCTGGTGGACTAGTAAGGTGTGCTCCTCATTTCCCGAAAGCCCCTCAGGAACCCAAATTTGTGCTGTTCCCGTTTGCGTAACTCCTCAAAGTTTTCTCATTCCCATAACGTTCGCAGGAAAACTCACCGTGTTCTCCCCATAGTTTGCCCCACGAATTAGCAATGATCCAGTAGGGTGTGTCGTTCTCCTTTCCCCATCCTATTATTTTCACGGCATGGTTCCCTATATAACTGCCGGCGGAGTGCTAAAAACAGCTTTCTATAAATGTTCTCTATCTTTTCTACTGCTTGTTCTGTGTTGATGCGCTAACCTAAATCGTAGGACGTCGGGGGGGGGGGGAGGAGACCGATGCGTGGTGTCTATCAAAGTATTGACAGTGTGGCAATCTGCGTAGTACTGAGCCTGAGCTTCTGGGGGGACGCAAGGTAGGAGCGCCGTCACGGGAAATCACGGAGGTTTCGAAATGACGGTCCCTAAACGGAACTGGCGACCACTCTCAGGAGTTGAGAGTGTGGCCGATTAACGTAAGAACCGTAATCATTGAGCATAAATACATGTATTGACCAAAAAGGACACTGAAACCTGTGACGGGCATCTGTAGGACTACTGCCGTAGAACTAGAGCGCCTTAATGGAGATGAGTACCTCTGACCAAGGGATGAAGGAGCCCCGGGGCAAGGAAATAAGTCCAAGTGCGGTGTTTCTTGGAAAGACATAAGTCTCAGTTCAGCACAAAAGTCCCTTAAAGGCAAAGCCCGCGATCATTCGCCATCACAGATAGTGGATTAGGGGTTTGCATATAGACGACAAGGTGCTGAGTAACTCGATAGTGAAGAAAAAGCGGAAGAATACATGCCATCTGCCCTAGATGGAACCCCCTTTCGCTCCCAGTTTGTACATATGTGCCCAACTACTCCCATCTTCAACATTACCCCCTCATCCGCACAGTTAATTCTCCGATAATTTTTAATTTTCGATTCTGCGACAGCACAAGGGACGATTTTCATGCTTTTTCGTCCTGCAGCTTCGTTTTTCACTGAAAGGCGGGCCTTGAAGGCGGAGTCTGGAGGCGGAGTCACTGGAAAAAAGGAGGAACCACTGAACCTATATTGCGCTATAGCGCCCCTCCCTTACAATTTTTGCCGCGAAACCGGTACAAGGTTGTTCGTCGCGGACCACACTACCCTCCCGACGCCATATTTTCAACTTCTATACCTGATCGCGGACCGTGCCTTTGAATATGCGCCCTTACCAGTACCAAGAAGTTTTTGATGTAACACTTCTATTATTGAAGCAAATACATTAATGTTCGGTTGGAAGGTAAAAACCTTCGGGACAGTAGAATGGAAACTGGTGGACTAAGCGCGCCTAAATAGCGCAACAGAGACAATTTGAGAATTAAAGCCCGTCACTTGGTCAGCAGCTACTGCTTCTAATCTGGTATTCACTTCTGAGCTAAATTCGCCACTTTTTTGAAGGATTTAGTTCTACAATGATTAGTTGGAGTGACGCAACTCGCAGCTGTGCGCTGCTCAACATCTTACCTTATAGATTCCTCCGAAGTAGTAGTTGAAGTCCTCGTAAACATGGAATGAGGCGGTAACCGGTCCGTTCTTCATGATTTCTCTCTGAATGTCCGTTTCGGAATTTCGTACTCGAAAGGCGTCTATTCCTGCAAATTTTTGCTGACCACAGAAACCAGAAGATTCGTCCACGAGGCAGGACAATGGAGCAGATTGAACTACCCAGAAGATCACAACGCCCAAAATGACTTCATGATGATTGACAACTGGTTCTCTTATTGTCCAATTGAAAACCGTCTCCAGTTGAGCCAACATCTCTTTGATCTATTTTTCGTTATAAGAATAAGTCTCGCTGGAATGCTGACGAGGCTGTTGGAGTGAGCTGGGGTGATCAGTCTCAGGAGAATGTCCTTCAGGCATTCACGCGTTTCCCTAGGACTCGTCGCCCGGTCAACCCACCAACCGTCTCGTCCTCAACCCAGCATGGCCTGCGCCTTCGATTTGCAAAAACTGACGCTCAATCAGGTGTCCGTAGAACTTCCATCAAAATATAAACGGATTCTTCTACCGATCGATCGTATTTCAAATGAACTCTCCGGATAGTACAGCTGACTAGTTACCTACCGTAATACTTGTCTTTTTCGTAACATCTTCCTGAACCAGTTTGGCATCTCCTTTGGCATGGCGGAGTGCTCGTAAGAATTGAACTTCTGTAGGAATGGTAATTCCAGCTGTTGTCTGGGGGAATCTCGTACGGACGACAACCACACTGCAGAAAAATGGATCGGGAGGTATGCAGAAAACATTATCAGGAACTTATCATAGCCCTACCATACTACCATAATCTCCTCCCGTGACAACACCATCGCTTACAAAGTACCTCCAAGCGTCAATAGCACGTCCTCCATTACACCTAAACATCGGAACATGAAATAGTATGGTGGAATGAGGTTGCTCGAATTACTTGAAGATCTTAATCTTTTGTAAATAACGTTTCAGACCGAGCAGCGATCTTAAAAAGCCCTAAAGACACATGGTGCGATCACACATAGTTTGGGTGTGCGTGACTATCACCCCCCAGCTGTCGAAGCGTAGCGGTTTCCCCGTCCTAACATGCGCAGGAATGGAGATACAGGACCGTGAAACACGCTAATTCCTCCATGCTCCGCCCAATGCCTTTTGCGGCGCAGACTCCCGTTTATGCTAACAGCCGTCCGCGCGGCGCGTGTCGCGCGCAGCGCTCTTGGCACTTTGCCAAGTCCTGTAATTGCGCTTTGGAATACAAGTAAAACGCAATTTCCTGATGCGGATAACATTTTGCTGCAAAATAAGAACCGAAGATGATGACGAGGGCTAGAACTCAAGAGCAACTGTGCTGCTTCTGCAATATCCCTCAGAGGCCGCGCATTCCCACAAAACATGAAAATAAAAACGGCCTAAGCGTCCCACTCGTTAGTTTAAAGTATTTCTATGGCTTTGGAGCCGGATTCGCGCCGGATCGCAGAAATTTACACGCGATTTTAATTAATTGCATTTCCTTATTTTTTTCATTTTTGTTTATTTACATCTACATTCGTTGTTCTTCATTTCTAGCCTTTGTCATCTTCATCACCTTCTATTCGGACTTTGCAGCATGAGCAACACCTCAAATGTTATTCGCATCAGGAAATTGCGTTTTGCTTGTATTAAACTAACGAGTGGGACGCTTAGGCCGTTTTTCATGTTTTGTGGGAATGCGCGGCCTCCGAGGGATATTGCAGAAGCAGCACAGTTGCTCTTGAGTTGTGTTTCTGGACTCGGCAAAGTGCCAAGAGAGCCGCGCGTGACACGCGCCGCGCGGACGGCTGTTAGCATGAACGGGTATTGGGCGGAGCATGGAGGAATTAGCGTGTTTCACGGTCCTGTATCTCCATTCCTGCGCATGTTAGGACGGGGAAACCGCTACGCTTCGACAGCTGGGGGCTGATAGTCACGCACACCCAAACTATGTGTGATCGTACCATGTGCCTTTAAAGGCAGCGCCCGCGTTCAAATTTGATGAGTATGCGGCTCAGGTAGTAATAGCAAGGTAGCAAGAAAGCCTATTAGTGAAGAAAAATCAAAAAGAAACATGCAAAATGCCCTATAAGGAGGAATAGCCGTTGTACGTGCTTAAGGCGAAGAGAAGAAGTTGCACGAGTTCTCACTTGTTGGTATCAGCTGTTTCCCTTATCACCTCACTCTCACCACACGACGTGGAGAGAAGCAGCAATGGAACAACCGCACCATCAGGCAACCATTAGAAATGAAGTTGGGCGTCGTGGTCGCCAGGTGGGCGGGGCGGTCGACTCTTTACTAGCGATAGGCGCTATCCTCTCGCCTTTGTGAGATGCAAAACTAGTACATACTGCATCCTTATGGGGAGGGCTATGATACCCAGAAAGGGCGTAGGAACATCAAGTGAACGTGGGCGCTGCCTTTAAGGTTCCGTATGGGATAACTTGTTCCCTGCCCCAAATCAGCGCTCAGAGTTGTAATCGTTTCAGTGGCTTTCGACTGTTTCTTTCGACTCTCAGCGGTCACTGCTCATCTAGGGATGACGATGGCAATGCTACTTGCCATAGCGAAGGCAACTGCTGCCTTTAAGTCCTGAATTGAACACGAAATCTCACCCATTGCCACAACTTGTGCAGCACGTCATAATGTCGTCTGCAGAGAGAGTTACCTGAAAATTTGTTCCATGGAATTGAAAGCCGCATGACCGTTCACTAGCTTGACTTGCAGTACCTTCAGGGTTGCGTTGGTAGAAATGCAAAGGCGATCCGACATCGTGGCAGCCAGACGAGACCGCCCAGCACGAGCCTAGGAATGTTGTGGTTATTTCACACTTCAAACAGAGAATTTTTGGCCAAACTATCATGGCCGTTGCTCTATGGGCTAGTTGACTTATATGATTGTGAGTATAAGCACCTATTATTTCTTGGTGAGATGGTCGAAAAGATGTTCCGTAGGCCGTCAAAAATACAACAGCGGAAATTTGCACTTACATGTCATGTAAGGTGTTTCCACAATCGGAAGCAGTTTCTACGATAAGCTAAGTAGACCAGTTTCCCTCGTGAACTGAAGAGAGCTCTATAGAAAGCAAGGGAGTTTGTGACAGGTTCGCTTTTTGTTAAGGAAGAAAAAAAAGACTTTGAGGGCTTCTAGTTGATCGTGGTGGCCATAGTCATCCTTTACTTTTCCACTGTAAGAACTTGTCCAGTTTTCACTAAGTTCTTCCTTCAAAAGAGGCTTTGGTTGAAAACTTGCTCGCTGAATCAGTTTGACTCCTCGAGCATAGAGGACACAACATGCCGCATGGCATGAAAGCGCCTGACGTTCACGCCAAACCACTCCAGTCCATTTCTTTAGTAATT